TTTTTGTTTGTTTTATTTTGTTATTTATTTATTTATTTGAAAATTGATTTGAAATTATTTTTATGTTAAAGTCCTTTCTGTCAATTTAATTGATCAATACAGTTGTTAATTTCTTCCCAAAAAAATAAAATATCATACTGACCCCAACCTTTTGAACAGCAGTGTATGTAAAAAAAAATACTTCAAGAGAATCAGTTAAATGAAATAAATTCTCAATCAAAACAGTTCCCGGTACAAAAGTAGCTGTAAATAACGCAGCTCAATTATACAGCTTTCTACATTCTGTCCAGCTAGATTTTGGTTTTTAGTGTAGAGTTTTTATTTTATTTTAATTTTTTTACAATATTAATAGTATCATAATAGTTACATGATTCATCATAATGTGCCTCTGAGTAAATACATATATCAGATATTTACTGCATCTACTCTACATAAGCAGTGGTACATTACTAAATAAGCACAGAATTCAATATAATGAAAAATAGAATTAAAAAAGTTAACGGCATTTTGTCACTTTGTAACATGTTGCCTTGAGCCCTGGTTATTTTCTGACCCTGATGTGAATTCACATTGAAAGCAGATTTGATCAGTTGTCTTATGAAATCTTCAGAGGTCCCAGGAGAGCTGATGGGAGCTCGGGCGTCGGTAATTCATAGTGTCTGTCGTACCTCTCCAAAGTCCAAACACATGCACATCAAATCAGCGTGTCTTTTACATGTTCCTACTATAAAAAAAATGGATTTAACTGGATTGAGCTCCAAAGGACGCGTTTTGATGGTTTTATGTATAGTTTCTTACTTTTACAAATACACCGCTGCTGAGGGGAGCTGCAAACTCAAGGCCAAATTCAACCTGAGGGGTTATTAGGAAGTGGAGAAGAAGACGGTGGTTATTGGCGGTAGGCTATGTTTCCTGTTCATCAACGCTTGGTTGACACTGACAGCAACACCACAGTCGCTCCAGAGTCCTCTGATTGTGAGGGGTAAGATGCTATATTTGATATTCATTTTATAAGAGAAAACTCGCCAGCAACTGCGTAA